AAAAAAAAAAAAAAAAAAAAAAAAAAAAAAAAAAAAAAAAAAAAAAAAAAAAAAAAAAAAAAAAAAAAGAAAGAAAGAAAAAAAAAAAAAAAGAAAAAAGAAAGAGGGCGGGGGCTAAGTCAACTGAGGGGCAAAAATGTCATTTTGCCCCTCCAGCCCAAATAGGGGTTCAAGGAGAACCCCGTCAGTTTCCCTACAAAAGAAAGAAGGAGTTAGAGAGAAATCAGAGAGGAGTCAGCCGGGAAGATTAATGGACCACCGCCGGAATCCATCTCCAGACGAGACTCGTACAAGGATTGAAAGGCTAGCAAGGCCGACGCTCCGTCAAAACCTAAGAACATTTCGCGAGATAAGGTTTCTAAACGACATTGCTCAGATCTGAGTTTTCCCCTACGTGAATCGACCCTAAAATGCTGAAATCTTCACCTAGGAACAACTTACGCACGGTCTGTGAAGAAGTTTGGCCGAGACCTCAACCCAAAGGCGGAGATCCGAGAGTCGTCTGAGAATGGTGAGCAAACTTCCGGCGTTCTTAAATCCTCCGATAGTCAACAAAAAATTACAAAAAAAAAATACTAGGACGTAGCCTGTAACACGATCTAGAACTTTGCCTAACGAATCATATCGATCCGATCTACGGATCGAAAGATATGAAAATCAGAAAAACAGACTAGGTTTCGGTTTTCAGTGGACAGAGAAGAAAGAAGAAAGAGAGAAAGAAGAAGAAAAAAAAAGAAACGGTCGGCGAGCGGCGGAGGGCGGCGAGCGCCGCACCGGACACGCGTCGACCACCGGCTGGAGCAACGCAGCTCCAGCGAGGCATCGACACGTGTCGCCTGCAAGCCGGGCCGAACCGCAACGCGACCGAGCCGACCGGACCGGGCCGGGCCGGCCGACCCGCGACTGCGCGAAAGAGGGCGCACGTGGCAGGCGCGTGTGCAGCCTGTGACTGGCGCCTTCCCGCGCGCGTGGCCACGCACTCCCAGCGTGCTACTGGCGCGTGAGCGCGCGTGGAACGGCCAACTTGGCCCGGTTGTTTTTTGTTTTCCCGATTTTTGTCCCGGTTCCAGTTCTAATACTATTTTTACGTGAATAGGGACCTAATTCAGAGAAATTAGTATTTTTGGACACCTCACGGGCAAAGAAACGCTAGCAAAAGGGCACGCGTCAACCAGGTAAGTCACCACCCAGTATTTAGGAAGAAATACTTGTAGGATTCGCTCGGATTGCATGCATGCTAGTAGTTATGCTTCAGATTAGCTCTCCATGTAACTTATTAGTCAGATTAACTGTTGTGATTGTATTGGGTAAATTACATGAGTGTTGCTGTATGCTTTAAGCTTCCGCTGTATGTATGCATGCGTTAATTTATGTTAGAATTGTGTATGCCGGGTTTCGGGTGCTTGATGGACGAATACGCCCCATTGAGCGCGAACTTCATGCTCTGGGTGCTTGATGGAGGTCATCGCCTCGTTGAACCGGTATGCCTAGTTTGCATGAATTACATACTATGATGTTAGAGGAAGATTGAATGTACCCTCGGTTAATTGCTAGGGCCCATTTCTAGGATAAGATTAGGAAATTTCCGTTAGGAGCGATATGCCGCTCTAGTCAGACTTAACTTTCCCTACAAACTTAGCGGTTTACCACGACAAGAAGGTACTCCGGAGTGTTCATAGATTGCTAACGTGTGAACGGTATCTATAGCTTCGTGGAAGGACCAAGGGGTCCCTGATCAGTCCTTATTGCTCTTAGCCATTTCACATGGGAAATGTGTCCCTGCGTCGTACAGCCCATTAGCTGCATGGGAACGGGTTGGGTCGCGCCCCCCATAGGGGGACTAGATGGGCGTAGGGGTACTCAGCACACCCCTAGGCTAGGTACCATGTAGTCCCAGATAGCCATGTAGAGGTAGCACCTCATAGAGAGATACCGACCATATTAGCTTGGCAGAAAGAACCTCTAGGCGTTTAATGAGAGAACGAAGAATCAGTGAAACCCAAGGGGCAAGCCCCAAGGGACCTAGATTAGAGCCAGACGTCCTAGAACCGAGATAGGAAACCGTGGCAACCTGTTAAATTAAGATGCGAAGAGAGCCTACAAGTAGGTGGCTTACTGAGTATAATTTTTATACTCATCCATTCTATGTTTTCCCTTTTTTTTTTTTCAGGAGCGCGAGGCGTTGGTCAAGAGTGGGCGTGATCAGAAGGGAGGTGCCATAGAGGAATGGGTTGTCTTGGGGCGTCAGTCCGGTCTTAGTCTTTATTTTTATATTCGCATTCTTTTGAAATTTATTTTCCAAACGGTCTTGTGTTCTTGGTTTGTCATTCGAAAAACTTTATTGGAATTTGATGATTTTCGTATTTCATATTTAAATCTCTTGTGCATTTGTGTCGTGTCGTTAGTCACGGTCCATAGTAAAATATTGGGCTATGATGAGGTGGCCACAGCCGACCACAGTCACAGAGGTGAGGAGTTTTCTTGGGCTAGCTGGTTATTACAGAAGGTTTGTTCAGAATTTCTCCAAAATTTCCTCAGCGCTGACTCAGCTAACCAAGAAGGGCAAGCCATTTGCTTGGACTTCAGCCTGCGAACAGAGTTTCCAAGAACTCAAGAAGAGGTTGGTAACTGCACCAGTCCTTACAGTTCTAGACGGGTCAGGAAATCTCGTGGTGTACAGTGATGCATCAGGGAAAGGCTTGGAGTGTGTGCTCATGCAGAAAGGTAAGGTGATAGCGTATGCTTCTCGACAGTTGAAAGAATATGAACGAAACTACCCCACGAATGATCTCGAGTTAGCAGCGGTAGTATTTGCTCTAAAAACGTGGCGGCACTACCTGTATGGGAAAAAAGTACAAGTCTTCACTGATCATAAGAGCCTCAAGTACTTATTCACGCAGAAGGAGCTCAATATGAGACAAAGGCGATGGTTGGAGCTGGTAAAGAATTATGACATAGAGATCCTGTACCATCCAGGCAAAGCCAACGTGGTAGCTGATGCATTGAGCAGGAAGGCCGTGCATACTTCTGCAATGATCACCACACAGGAAAAACTATAAGATGAGATGAAGAGGGCTGGGATAGACGTGGTGGTTAAAGGTGGTAATGTTCAGATGACACAGTTAACTATACAGCCCACCTTACGAAAGAAAGTTATCGACGCTCAGAGGTCTGATGAACACCTCAGTAAAGTGTGGAGTCAGACTGAGACAAAGAGGCCAGAGGGGTATTCTATCTCCTCAAACGGGGGTCTGCTATGGCAAAACCGCCTGTGCGTTCCCCGAGACGAGGGAATCTTAAAAGATTTTATGACCGAAGCCCATGATACATCTTATGTGTTCCACCCTGGAAGTACGAAGATGTATCAGGATCTGAAAAGATTTTACTGATGGTTGGGAATGAAGAGGGACATAGCGGATTTCGTAAGCCGCTGCTTGACCTGCCAGTAGGTGAAGGCCCTGAGACATCACCCAGCAGGATTGCTACAGCCTCTGAACGTTCCTCAGTGGAAATGGGAAGCAGTCTGTATGGATTTCGTCTCGGGTTTGCCAAAGACAAAGCAAGGATTCAATGTCATCTGGGTAATTGTAGACAGACTGACTAAGACGGCTCGCTTTATTCCAGGAAAGTCCACATATCGAGTGGATCGGTGGGCTCAGTTATATATCAAGGAGATAGTACGCCTGCACGGGGTACCAGTGTCCATAGTATCAGATCGGGACACCAGGTTCACCGCTCAGTTCTGGAGGAGTCTTCAGAAGGCACTAGGAACTCAGTTGAGGTTCAGTACAGCGTTCCATCCTCAAACGAACGGACAGACTGAAAGGCTGAACCAGGTGTTAGAGGACATGTTGCGAGCCTGCTCCTTAGATTTCTCTGGGTGCTAGGACGAACATCTGCCTTTAATGAAGTTTGCCTACAACAATAGTTATCAAGCGACCATTCAGATGGCCCCCTTTGAGGCACTGTATGGGCGTAGGTGTTGAACACCAGTGTTTTGGGAAGAGGTTGGCACGCAGCAACTACTGGGACCAGAGTTGGTCCAGGTCACCAATGCAGCGGTGCAGAAAATCAAGTAGAGGATACTCACCGCACAGAGTCGACAGAAAAGCTATGCAGATGTGCGTAGAAGGGACCTCGAATTTGAGGTGGGTGACCACGTGTTCCTGAAGGTGGCCCCTATGAGGGGGGTGTTGAGGTTCGGGAAGAAAGGGAAATTGAGCCTAAGGTTCATAGGCCCCTTCGAGATTCTGGACTGAGTTGGGGCTGTGGCTTACAGAATTGCCCTACCACCGAACCTTGCCGCCGTGCACAATGTGTTCCACGTATCCATGCTGCGAAAGTATACTCCCGACCCTACTCATGTAATCGAGCACGGGATGCTTCCTCTCCGAGAAGATCTGTATTACGAGGAGAAGCCTAGCAGAATTTTGGCTCGAGACACGAGGCAGTTGCGTAGCAAAGTTATTCCCTTGGTAAAGGTCTCATGGGGTAATCGCCGTGAGGAAGAGGCAACCTGGGAACGAGAAGAGGACGTGAGGAAAGCTTATCCCGAACTCTTCCAAGAGATAGCTACTTTTGGGGACAAAAGTTCCTAAGGAGGGGAGAATTTGTAACGCAAAAAAAAAAAAAAAAGGGCGGGGGCCTAAGTCAACCAAGGGGCAAAAATGTCATTTTGCCCCTCCAGCCCAAATAGGGGTCCAAGGAGAACCCCGTCAGTTTCCCTGCAAAAGAAAGGAGTTAGAGAGAAATCAGAGAGGAGTCAGCCGGGAAGTTTAACGGACCACCGCCGGAATCCATCTCCAGACGAGACTCGTACAAGGATTGAGAGGCTAGCAAGGCCGACGCTCCATCAAAACCTAAGAACATTTTGTGAGGTAAGGTTTCTAAACGACATTACTTAGATCTGAGTTTTCTCCTGCGTGAATCGACCTTAAAATGCTGAAATCTTCACCTAGGAACAACTCACGCACGGACTGTGAAGAAGTTTGGCCGAGACCTCAACCCAAAGGCGGAGATCCGAGAGTCGTCTGAGAACGGTGAGCAAACTCCGGTGTTCTTAAATCCTCCGATAGTCAAGAAAAAATTAAAAAAAAAAAAAAGACTAGGACGTAGCCTGTAACACGATCTAGAACTTTGCCGAACGAATCATATCGATCCGATCTACGGATCGAAAGATATGAAAATCGGAAAAAACCGACTGGGTTTCGGTTTTCAGTGGACAGAGAAGAAAGAAGAAAGAGAGAAAGAAGAAGAAGAAAAAAAAAAGAAACGGCCGGCAAGCGGCGGAGGGCGGCGACAGGCGCTGGACACGCGTCGACCACCAGTTGGAGCAACGCAGCTCCAGTGAGGCGTTGACACGTGTTACCTGCAAGTCGGGCCGAACCGCAACGCGAGCCGAGCCGAGCCGACCGGACCGAGCCGGGCCGGGCCGGCCGTCCCGCGGCTGCGCGGAAGAGGGCGCGCGTGCAGCCTGCGACTGGCGCCTTCCCGCGCGCGTGGCCACGCACTCCCAGCGTGCTGCTGGCGCGTGAGCGCGCGTGGAACGGCTTATTTGGCCCTGTTGTTTTCTATTTTCTCGATTTTTGTCCCGGTTTCAGTTCTAATACTGTTTTTACGTGAATAGGGACCTAATTCAGAGAAATCAGTATTTTTGGACACCTCACGGGCAAAGAAACGCTAGCAAAAGGGCACGCGTCAACCAGGTAAGTCACCACCCGATATTTAGGAAGAAATACTTGTAGGATTCGCTCGGATTGCATGCATGCTAGTAGTTATGCTTCAGATTAGCTCTCCATGTAACTTATTAGTCAGATTAACTGTTGTGATTGTATTGGGTAAATTACATGAGTGTTGTTGTATGCTTTAAGCTTCCGCTGTATGTATGCATGCGTTAATTTATGTTAGAATTGTGTATGCCGGGTTTCGGGTGCTTGATGGACGAATTTGCCCCATTGAGCGCGAACTTCGTGCTCTGGGTGCTTGATGGAGGTCATCGCCCCGTTGAACCGGTATGCCTAGTTTGCACGAATTACATACTATGATGTTAGAAGAAGATTGCATGCACCCTCAGTTAATTGCTAGAGCCCATTTCTAGGATAAGATTAGGGAATTTCCGTTAGAAGCGATATGTCGCTCTAGTCAGACTTAACTTTCCCTACAAACTTAGCGGTTTACCACGACAAGAAGGTACCCCGGAGTGTTCATAGATTGCTAGCGTGTGAACAGTATCTATAGCTTCGTGGAAGGACCAAGGGGTCCCTGATCAGTCCTTACTGCTCTTAGCCATTTCGCATGGGAAATGTGTCCCCGCATCGTACAGCCTATTAGCTGCATGGGAACGGGTTGGGTCGTGCCCCCCATAGGGGGACTAGATGGGCGTAGGGGTACTCAGCACACCCCTAGGCTAGGTACCATGTAGTCCCAGATAGCCATGTAGAGGTAGCACCTCATAGAGAGATACCGACCATATTAGCTTGGCAGAAAGAACCTCTAGGCGTTTAATGAGAGAACGAAGAATCAGTGAAACCCAAGGGGCAAGCCCCAAGGGACCTAGATTAGAGCCAAACGTCCTAGAACCGAGATAGGAAACCGTGGCAACCTGTTAAATTAAGATGCGAAGAGAGCCTACAAGTAGGTGGCTTACTGAGTATAATTTTTATACTCATCCATGCTATGTTTTCCCTTTTTTTTTTTCAGGAGCGCGAGGCGTTGGTCAAGAGTTGGCGTGATCAGAAGGGAGGTGTCACAGAGGAATGGGTTGTCCCGGGGCGTCAGTCCAGTCTTAGTCTTTATTTTTATATTCGCATTCTTTTGAAATTTATTTTCCAAACGGTCTTGTGTTCTGGGTTTGTCATTCGAAAAACTTTATTAGAATTTGATGATTTTCGTATTTCATATTTAAATCTCTTGTGCATTTGTGTCGTGTCGTTAGTCACGGTCCGTAGTAAAATATTGGGCTGTGACACTGGTCTTCACTTCTTGATAAAGGCCCTTGCTTTCCTTGCCCTCGTCATCCAACTGAACTGAAGATTCTAACGAGTTCTTGTCATCCATCCCATTACCTTGTTCTCTTTCACCAACCAAACTGTCTTCCAATTTGTCACCTTCGTCAACCACAACATTACGTTCATCCTTAGTACAATTCCCCAAATCAATCAATACATCTCGACTTTCTGATAACCCAGCATCATCACTGCAAGCTTCTCTCTCTTTAGCCACATCCATGCTCTTATCCAACAACTCAACCTCTACCACAACACTGCCTTTCTGAACTTGGTCTACATTCTCACTTTTAGCAGCGCCCCCAGAAGCTTCTCGGTCAGCCTGCAAGTCTAACAAATTGGTAGTTTGATCCAAATCTTCGAAGATGAGGAAAACGTCAGCCTCAGAGGCATCAAGATCGTCAAAGGTTAGTTTGAAATCTTCATTTTCGTCAAATCCCAAATCCAAGGCCGTGAAATAAATAGAAGGGTTACAAGGGGCAGCAGAATTGACATCGGAGAAAAAAAAAAGAGTGCAAAGGCGAAATTTTGAGAGAATCAAATTCAGAAGCACAAGTAGTGAAATTAGAATTTTGATCAACTGTAGAGACATCATCTTGATATACGGCTGAAGTCATGTTTGTTGGCTGATCAAGAACCTCAGTGATTAAGTAGTATTCCCAAATTGGATCTGAAGAATTTTTACTTTAATGTACAGCATTTGCTTTTGATTCCTAGATTTTGACTTGCCAATTTGGCTTAATATGGCCTGGCTTTCCGCAACGATCACACACCACTTTCACCTGACGCTCTCGTTTAAAATGGCCTGGTTTTCCACACCTGTAACAAGCTTTAAATGGCTTCTTTGACGACTCCTCGCTTCTGAATTGATTCCATTGCTTGATGAAGGCTTTGAATGAAAATTTTGTCTCCTTTGATCTTTGACATACGACGCATCTTCTGACTTTGGGGAAAACTCGTTGCTGCTGGTCATTTGCTTAACCAAGGCTTCCTGATTTGAAAGAAGATTCTCCAGTTCAATTACCGTAGGCTGATTTGCCCACCCTTGTATTGAGGAAACAAAAGACATAAATTCTTTTCGTAATCCACGAATAAGATAACGCCGTAATCGAGCATCACTCACTGGCTCCTCAGCATTTAATTCTGAAATTTCAGAACATAGATTTTTCACTTTTAAGAAATATTCTTCAATAGAAAAATTACCTTGAGTTACCACAGACAATTCATTCTCTAGAAATTGCAATCGAGCTATATTTTTCTTGGTGAACAACTTTTGAAGGGTTTCCCATACTTGCTTTGGTGACTTTAAATCACGAACATGATCAATATATTCCTTGCTAATAAGAGTTCGCAAGGTAAATAAGGCTTTTCCACATTTGATCTTCCATTTTTGGCGTAATTTAGCATTTTGTGGAGTGTCGGCTGGAATTTCTGTGTCATCACCTTCGATTAAATTCCACCGATCTTGTCCCTATAGATAAGCTTCCATACATAACTTCTAATAATTGTAATTATTGCCAACAAGCTTTTCCATAGCTACACCCATAGAAGCACTTCCACCATTCATCTCGTTGAGTAATAATTTCAACCGTATCAACTTGGCTCTGATACCAACTGTCACAATATCTCACGCTCAAAGGTGTGAATAAATATGACATTATTATTACTCAAAGAGGGTAATACAGAGACAACTAAAATAATGAACTGCTTTGGCTTGTGTTTTACTCAGCGGAAGGCTTCTCTTTAAACAAAAATAAATCCTATAAATAGCTCCTACAAAAACTCTACTGAAATAAACTATTCCTAAGGATGAATGGCTTAACAAGTTGACTAATTCCATCTAAAATAAGTTGCACTAATTTTGAAAGATACCCGCTGATAACTCTCTAAAGGTAAAGTCATATCAAGTCTTTTTGTATTTAATATGGTACTCTTATTCACCATTTTCTCATTATTTACCCCATTTATTCTACTTAGTGAGCATGAAATCGTTTATTGTGGTCCAACATGAAAAAAAAAATGGTTTGGCATAAATCGATCTTAATTGTACATTTAATTGAGTTATGTGGTAAAATTTTAGACATTTATGCTGAACCATAAGGGAGTAGCAAATCTGTAAATAAATGGGAGATGACATGAAAATTTTAAATCCACATCAGCAGTCCAAGTGGGTCATTGATTACCCGATAAGGAACATCCTATGTGGACAACTTATTCATTTTCAGCCCTAAAGGGGAACCCATGCTCAATATAAAAGGAAAAGAAAGACCAAGAAGAGAAGAGCCACACTTTGGGGAGAAAAATCGAATTACACAGCAGTAGCCTCTGCTGCAATGAACTACTGTGAAACCAGAGAAGAAGAAGAAAACCCTAATCCAGTAGCTATTGACAGCAGAAGAGAAAGGAGGCCAATAAGGATTGATTAGGGTTAAGAGGTGGACATGAGAGCTCAAGAGAAGGGAACTTCCATTGATGAACGACAACAAATCGGGTAATAGAAGGAGAAGAGAGGGAGTAATGAAATCCTCTTCAATACTCTAGTTCTATAGCAAGGAGACTTGAAGGGTAATAGAAGGGTTAGGAATAATTCTTGTCCTAGAGCATTGTTAATAGAAATTACAACGATTATAGAAATAATCACCATTCATGACCCTCGGAAGTGGGCTTGAGAATCTATTAAAAGGAACTAAAATCTACCACAAAACTCAATAACTTATCTATTTAATCTCTCTTAGCCGAACCTTCCTCATTATAGTTGATTTTCTCATCATTTTTTATTTTTCGACAACAATGGCACTTTGTTTTAGTTTTGTTTAAGTAGTTAAAATCACCGACACCCATTTGAATGTTACAAAAAAACTCACTTAATTTCCAGCAATAAAATTAACCAAAAAAGATAGGTTTCCTATGGAATCGATAATTTACTTATTACTTGCTACTTGTGATAGTGTATACTTGTACTTATTCTTGTGAATTTTACATCATTTTATTATATACATCCACAAGCGATCACCTGCAGCGGATGTTTTTGTCGT